TATTGAGCATCAATATATATATATATATATATATATATACATATATATATAAAACATTATATACAAAACATAACTAAATATCTCTGTACCTTGACTGCATAGAGTTTGGAGTTGCATTTCTTTCTGGCGAGGTAAACCTTCCCAAAGGCTCCTCGACTGATAGGTTTGACCAGCATAAACTCCTCGATGGAGGGAGCTTTCACTGCGCTGTTTGAGCCTTCAGATGATATTCCATGAGCTTCCATTTCTGCTGTCTCTTCAAATATTAATTTAATCCAACTAGTTCACTAACTGTTAGATTAGATCACTAGTCTGTCGTCTCACCGTAGATGATCCTCACTCAGAGAAGTACAAAAACGATTTATGGTGATTATTGTGTTGAAAATCAAACACATATCACCACAAATGTTGTTACACGCTACATGTATTCGTTTTGCATTAGTTTGAACGAGACAGTCCGACGTTCAGTCCACCGCATCCATTCTCACTGTTGACAAGCGCGACTCGTTTGTTTTGAAATTTGAAATGCGCGACATAAATTTGGGTCCTAAAACGCGGTGGTTTAGTCGCCCCGAACGTCTGAAATGAAATAGTCAACTGGAAAAAAATTATGCTTAATAAAGATTGTATAAGAGCTGATGTTTAATGTATAAATGATATACTTTTTATTTAATTCTTACACTATAAAATTACTGTTAAATTTCTGCAAAACGAATCAGGCAAAGACGTTGGCTACTTTGCAGGTCTTTAGTGGAGCGGAGAGGAGGAGGCGCCCTCTGCTGGCCAGTGACAGAATAAAAGACTGAGCTCGTTATTCCTCCAGGGGGCGCGCGGCGGTTTAGAAATCGCTTTAGAATATTTATTTACCAAAAAATATAATCCCAAAGATTTTGGAACCTGGCGCACAAACGCAATTCCGCCTATGCAATTTCTAAAGAATCTTTATTTTACATATCCTCATAAAATAATTACAAACTTTAATCCATCATCAACAGCGTTGTAACAAGCATCAAGTCACATGCCGCAGCAGCTTTTTGGATAATAATGCAGATTATAGATAGGAGTAAAATTGATAATGAATGTGTCCTGTTTTGGAAGGACGTAGCGCTGGTGTTTTATTGAGTATGAACAGTCTAAAAGAAAACAGTCTTATGTAGTGAATCTGATTTTGATTCATGCCTACACAGATGCAAATATTCAACCAGAACTCTCTTTTGTTTTCATGAAAGAATTTGAGCAATACCTTTCATTGATCCAGTTGTCTAAGAACAAAAAAGCTTTAAAAAACTGTATCTGTTTGTAGATATTTTCCTATCTTTAATGACACGTAAGTCTCCCATTTGTTTTCAGTTTGCAATGTATTAAACACCCCGGCCCCTTTTCTTCATTTGGTTTAATTGTATTTTGTTGTTATGGTCTATCATTTTTATGTTGATGGTTGTATTACTTTTTGTATAGGCCACTGTTTTTGATTTTTGAGCGTTAATAAAAATATAATATTTTAGCAGACTACATGTTACTAAATTAGTATTTTATTAATTATTCATATTTTATTAATTAAATGTTATTATTTAATAGTTTTATTACGGATTAATATTCAGCATAATGAGCTGATAGCTTTTTAAAGCCTTAGATGTGGCTATGGAATAAATAAGCCTATATGCAAGAAAGAAAATAACACTCATAATTCCGTATGCAAATGACGTAATTTCGGTTATTAGATTTTAAGTGGTGGTAGTAAATTTTATAATTTTATTCCACTACTATAAAACACGAACTAAAAGAATTGTACTGCCAAGCGTAACTAATGTAAATAATAAATTTCATAATTAGAATAGGCTATATTTCACCATTGAAGCCACGAAGTGGCGCTGTTATCGTTATTAATGCCAATATAATTTATAGTATTTGACAGTTGTGTTGTAAAGTGTGTAATAAACTAAATGTAAAAAATTAATTGAACTGTTACGTAACGTTACTTGAAAAGTACACATTGAAAACAAAAACGTATTTCTTATTATTATTATTATTAATATTTTTTTTTTTATGAAAATGAACCCCCCCCCCCCCCCCCCCCCCCCCCTCCAAAGCCGTAAACCTAGGGGAAACACTGTAATGTATATTGCTGCTGCCACACATGGGATTTATTTCCCAGATGTTTACCTTCACAGACATAACTGACTGTTTTTTGTAACTTGTGTGTTTTTAACGTAAACTTGTGTGTGAATTAGGGATGTGCGCGACGACTAATTTGACTGTTGTTTAAACGAAAGTTTTGTATCCGACTAGTCGACTAGTCTAAAAGCAAGAAACCCCC